TTCACGAGAGTCACTGTCTTGAGTGCCGGCAGAAAAGACTGGGCGAACAGGTAGAACATAGCTGGCATAGCACAATCGACAGGTTGTTGAGCACTTTTTACAGATTTGTTTCTGGCGCAGCACCTTCCATATACACTTCAAATGTCATTTCTGTGAGGATAGTACAGAAAAAAAAAACGTTGACCAAAGACAGCTGAAGTCTGAAATGTAAATTTGCAGTTTTCTTGAACACTTAAACTTTGGAAGTCACCAAACTTTAGCGGTCATTTTCTTGGTTCTTTTTTCCTCTGTCAACCGGATACCCCGCCTCATGCAGTGGCAAACATTTCAAGGTCAAATTTAATGTGTAGTTGGGATTTTAAAAATCATAAATGAGACTTTTAAATGAACAAGCTTCACGATTAGACTTATAACTCCATGTCAAAACACCCCCACATACATAGTGTCCATTCTACCATCGTGCCGACCTACATTCTACCATCGTACCCGCATACATAGTGTCCATTCTACCATCGTACCAACATACATAGTGTCCATTCTACCATCGTACCGACATACATTCTACCATCGTACCGACATACATTCTACCATCGTACCGACATACATTCTACCATCGTGCCGACACACATAGTGTACATTCTACCATCGTACCGGCATACATTCTACCATCGTACCGACACACATAGTGTCCATTGTACCATCGTTCCGACATACATTCTACCATCGTGCCGACATACATAGTGTCCATTCTACCATCGCACCCCGTCTTACCGACATACATTCTATCATCCTACCGACAGACATAGTGTTCATTCTAACGTCATATTACGTGTACAAATCATCATTATCTTCATCGGTAGACATTGGTAGGTGTAACAAAGATTTCCCAGACTTTAGCTAAGCACAAGTCTGTTATCATTAAGGAGAACTGGTACAGTATCTCACGGCTGAAGTCTTAGTTACGTCATGGAGGGTGTTGGTGGAGCCCAAGCCCGGGCTCCGTGAGGCCAGGATGAGTTATCTGCCTAGGCGCAGTATCTATTTGGAGACGTCTCCGACGGAGATAGACCAATCAAAATGCTTTGTGCATGTAGAGCAAGCAAAAGGTTCGGCCTCCCGGTTTAAATTTTCACTAGCAGTTTTCATCCACATCTGCCGTTCTGCCGCCAGGTTTGCCTTTCGATTCCGAACTGGCAGTTTGGAGCGTACATGTGTAGCCGCCTTAACACCCAGTGTGTACTTGTGTTGGGAGCATGTCTATGTTTCCTCAGCTCTATGTTCCCTCAAGTCAAGTTACAGGCTATGTCATGTCATGTCATGTCATAATGCCATGTCATATCATGCCATGTGAGATGACATAATTCTATGCCATGTTACATGACGTTAATATCTCATGAGTTGAGGAAACATTGAACTGAAGGAACATAGAACTGACCCCCCTGCCCCAACACACTCGTAGAGTTCTATTTTAGCTATTGCCAGATGTATTGGTACCAAATTATGCATTTAGAGAGACAGTGCTCTTACTCAATGACGCATAGTTTTGAGAAAATGAGATTCAACTCTTACAACTAAAGTATTTTGCATTTTTTCCCCTGAGTATTAGCCTCCCACCCCCTCCTCAACCGGCAAATGAGATTGTATCTACCTATAGACAAAATGTGCTCACCGTCTGTGTCAGTAATGTGTAGTGTGTTACTTGTTTCTCGGAAAAGCTGGAATTACAACTGTGTCATTCTACGCGCACGAAACGTCAACAAATAGTACACTATTGTGTTTGCTACTCTGGGGTTGATGGCATGAAGGACCCATCAGCCAGCTCTCACGTCAGAAGAGAGAAAAGACATCAAAAGAACTGAAGTCACAATAGCAGACGGATGTAATCATACTGGCTGCGTAGTTATTTACGTGCAAGATGGTTTCAGAGTACTCAAGTCTTTATTTATCTTTAAGTATTGTTACATAATCATAATATTTCATATCAAGTGTGTGTGCGTGTGACTGAATGCTCGATGATGGCGATGATACTCGTGTGTGGTATGCGTGTTGGGACGTGAAAGGAAACATGTACGAACCTATATAGTCATGTATTTTCATTAATTTGAATTCATCGTCTTCCTTCATTAAAAAACTTTTGCATTCTGAAAGGATTCATGTTCAAAGGTGTGCATGACAATACGATACATTTACGTTTGTGTTCCCATACACAGAAACAGATTGTTTCGGGTAGGTCATTTTCTGTACACTTTGTTACGCCGTGATATTATTCTTGTTACAAAAGAGAAAAGTGTATAAATAAATGAACACAGCTGCAGCAAGTTAGGCGCAGAGCACAACTTCACCTCAATATGGAACTGATTGAAGCTGTGTGAGTGAGTGGGTCATTGAGCTCACTCAGACTGACAGTCATGTCATGCCTGTGGTACAACGTCTGTGTTGTGTATCACTCGAGTGTGTCAGTCAACTGTGTTGAGTGTGTCAACTGTGTTGAGTGTGTCTTATAGCAAGACGCGATGACATGTTTCGTGTTTGATTACATTCATCAACCAGACATTGCGTGTCGTGTGACCTTGACAAGTTATTGCATGTATAAAGTACTCGTGAACGTGAGGATTCCAAAGTAAATCGCATTACACATAATCGATGAATAAAAGTGGAAATATTATTAATTTTACCGTCCTCTCAGGCTCTTAAAAAATTTGGACTGTGTTGCTCACTCCTTCTGTCCTGTTGTTACTTCTTTACTTCTTTGTTTCTTGTGAATCTAGTCGTTCTCTTGCCTTGGGACCCAGCACCACAAGTTGTTTTGTCCAAGCGTCAGTCGCCCCGTCTGTCACCAGTGCATGCATCCACTAACACTACAATGATAATAATATACTGAACCTACACAAACACTAACACAACAATATTATACTGAAACTATGGATCCACTAACACAACAATATACGGAGCCTACACACCCACTAACACAACAATATTCTGAACCTACGGATACACTACACAACAATATTCTGAACCTAGGGATACACTACACAACACTATTCTGAACCTAGGGATCCACTACACGCCCACTAACATGCCACAGGGCTGGGAGTGGTGTATCACCTGCTACAAGGGTCGACGTGGTGCTGGGCGTGGCGCTGGACGTGGTGCATCACATGCCACAAAGCTGGACGTGGTGCGCTGTCAGATCAGCCGGTAGCATGCTAGGCTGTGACGCACACAGCTCTGGTTCGACTCCCTTCCGTAGTAACTCTGAACCTGTCTTGTTTCGGGAGTCCTCAAAGCTTCCCGCCGACTCTGAATGTTCTGTTGTAGACTGACGCAAACCTCGGAGGTCCCACGCCGTCAGTTCGAAAGGAAGAAAATAAGACTGCACACACCCCTGCTTGACACTCAACATAGATAGTTAGGGGGCTCTCGTAGCCTAAACGTCATTCAAAGCTCCCGGGTTCGAATCCGGGTAGCAACCGACAAATTTTCTTCTATAAAATTCTCTCCTTTCACCTCCTTTCCTGCTCTCTAGCAATGTTCTGTCGTTTGCTTTCGTCTCCTCTTTCTGCCCCCACCCTCACCTCCTTTGCCCCCTCCTCTGGGCTCCTGACTCTTTCTGCAGCCTTTCTACTGTTACTCCTTGGCTCCTTCTTACAGATGTCTTTCACCAACACCCCTGATCTTCTGGTAGGAAAGATCTACACCTAGCCTTCTCGGACAAGGCTAAAAATCTCGGAGGGCCCGTGTGCAAGTTGCGCGCGTTAAAGATCCCTTGGTGGTCTAAAATCGATAAGAGTAGGCTTCTGCCGCAACCCGGGCAAAATTCAAAATTTTCTACCAACTGAAAAAGTTCAATGTGTCCCGCACGCTCGTATGACCTTATGAAGATGCGGGCGCCATAAAACACTTACCAAAGAAAAAAACATAGGGCCTAGCTGACCTGTCAAAGACACAATAGTGCACGTCTCACACTTATTGTACAAACACTGCAACCTTACGGGAGGAGTAATATCTGAGATAGATGCAGTCTTCGTAGAAGATAAAAATGTTT